CCGGGGCGCGCCTGGGGGTGGCCCCCGAGCCCCGCCGGGGCCCTTGGAGAGGCTGTGGACTTCCGGCCTGACTCGGGGTACAGGGTGGAGCGGGTGGCCAGGGGCGACAGCGCTCCGCTGCCTGGGCGCGGCCCTTTAAACTTTCTGTTTTTTAAACTTCGGGGGTGTGGTCGTGGCGCCTCCTCTCTGCGGCTGGCTGTTCCCCGGCGTCCTGTCCTGCCCTCCGCCCCGCCTTCCAGATGCTTTGGAGTCATGAGCCGGGAGGGGACAGGGACCCGTCTGGTGGCCGAGGTGATCAAAGGTGAGTGCGGAGGCGACCGGGGGTAGCCTGTCGGGGCGCCCCCGGGGACACCCGTATTTAGGCGTCGTAAGGCAGTGTCGGGAGCTGGAGGAGGCCGGGTTTCTGGCCGGGAGGCGCCTTTAACCCTCGGGCGGGCCAGGGCTGTCTCGAGGGCGCGGGTGGCCCTCTGGGGCGCCCAGCCCGCGCCCTCTGGGGGGTGGCCCTCTGGGGCGCCCAGCCCGCGCGCTCTGGGGGGTGGCCCTCTGGGGCGCCCAGCCCGCGCGCTCTGGGTCTGGGGCGAGTGTGACCAGAGCGGTGCGGTGGGGAGCCCCGGCTGGTAGGTGAGTTGCGTCTCCACCCTGGGGAGCAAAATCCGTGGCCGCTGTGCACGGGGATCAAGGGTCACTTGTGGTTGGAAGAGAGTAAACCCGTCATCCCGTGAGTGTTTGTGGCTGCAGGACATTTTAGCTGAGAAGTTGACAAGAAATTAAGTACGAGTTGAATTGCTGACAACCATTTAAATGACCATTTGGGCAAAGGGTGCCAGCTGGCGCCCTTGGTTTCTTACTATTTTAAAGGCTGTGCTTGATTTTGCCGTAATCGGAGCGTACGTCAAATCACCCGCGCTGCGAGTTTGGCCGCAGTTAGGTCTTGCTGACGGCTTCGCCTCGCCGAGCGTTTTAGGGAACTTTTCCTGGGGCTGGGCGGGGGAGGGAGGTCGGAGCTCTGAACTTTGTTAGCGCCGGTTGTCATTGTTGCTAAAGCTCACAGCAGCCTGACTGCGTTTGTGCAACACGAGTTCAGGGCACGCGCGTCAAGCAGACGCCTCATTGCTTCTGTTGCAACGGAAACTCGTCTAATGGTAAAAGTCGCTGCAAAAGTAGCAGCGGTCCCTGGGAACGCGGGGGTCAGCGTCTGCTTCATTTTGTTGTTTGTGTCCTGTAGCCTTAAACGTTAATTTTGAAGCAGTTTTGAAAGTGTTCTTTGTCTATTTAAAATGCAGTTTCTTATGAAAGGAGTCTCTAGGACGTCTTGAAAACGTGGTGATGCATAGCCAAAGTCGGCTAGCTGGTGACCCGCCAGCAGGCGCATGTTGCCTTTGCTCAGCTGTCTTAGTCAGGGGAACTGAAGTTTTGCAGGAGAGGTTCCTCCAGAAATCAAGCCATTCTGCTCCATGAAAAGTCACTAGTCAGTATTGAAACTTACGGTTAAAGGCAGTTTCTCCTTTAAAGAATTTGCTTATTTGTTATCACTTCTCAAAACAGAACATTTTGAAAGTATCTGTTGGCACCCTTTACCATCAGAAACATATATGGGGAAAAAAAAAATCTTACTTCATCTGAAAAGAGTTGTATCAAGATATATGAAAATTTTAAAAATAACCTGAAGGAAGGCACATTGCAATTTTTCCATTTCAGATCGCCTTTGTTTTGCCATTCTCTACAGCAGACCAAAGAGTTCATCAAATGTACATTATTTCACCATAGATAATGAACTTGAATATGAGAAGTAAGTATTGCTTTTTAAAAGATTGTTAGTACTTTTTTTTTTTTTTTTGAAGAATCTAAAGGTATGTTTATAAATAGGATAACCTTGGAAAATTAGAAATCTGTTGACTGATAATTTCAGGATGTTTTTCCTTTAACCCTTTAATAATAAAGTAGATACTTCGGGGGAAAATCACAGTGAAAGAATCTTCCTAAATGTAATGATTTATATTTGAAATTCTAATAGTTTACAGTACAGTGAAATACAAACTAGTGTACTAAGATGTGTTTTTACCAGTGGAAAAATGTGTGGAAAAACAGCTTTTTTATTCAGAAGGTACTTTCATATGTTATTTGAGGTTAGATTTAGGCATTGAACCACTTTTTTCATGTATCTTAATAGGCATTATTCACCAGAATATCTTCCGCTAGTTAAGGCAGTACCTTTAAGTGTGTGACTGATGACAATTTGGTGTATGCTTTCTTGTCTTTATTTGATCTTGTAGCTCCAAAAAGGCATTTATATTCAGGGCATCTAGAATATATTTATATATACTCATTTTTGTGTTTTACTTTTAAAGCTTCTACGCAGATTTTGGACCACTCAATCTGGCAATGGTTTACAGATATTGTTGCAAGATAAATAAGAAATTAAAGGTAAAGTCTTTTTTACTTTAGATTTAACTTAATTGTCAGCCTGATCTTGGGGAGGGGAGAGTAAGGAAAGCACATTGCTGTTTTAGGCAGGAAATGTCATGTTTTTTACTGCAGTGGCGTTGGGACGTATTTGTGGTTTTTGTTTTTTGTTTTCCAGAGTTTTTATTGAGCAGTTTAAGTTTGGGTCATTTGGTTCTGGTTTGGATTGGTGATGCTCAAATACTTGAAAGCCAAAGTGGAAATCGGTTCATAAAGTAAACCACTTACTGTCTAACCTAATGGAGCTGAAACCTAACAAGAGAAACTTCCCTTGCTGTGGTCATTTTTCTTTCTGCCCTCAGTTTGATGGGGAAGGAGAGCTGGCAGGCAAATAAAGAAAAATCTGCTCCTTACTTTCTCTCGTTCTACCTTGAATCTCTCCTGATGTTGTACTGCTTGTGACTCTTTACCTTGCCCCTTTGCACATACGATTAAGGAGCAGGGGAAGCAAGGACAAACAGTGTATCTTGAAGACCTGAAAGCTGCAAAAGTATATTTCTATTAGCTGGAACTTAGACCCCATCCATTTCTTTTAAAAACTTTGAATTATTGGTCATGCGCACTAGGAAGCCCATATACTGCCAGCAATTCCTAATAAGTCACTGTAAATTCTCAAATAAATACTGGATTTGGGAACAGGTCCTTCTTAAAAACAACTTTATTCAGGCAATTACCAGGATACTACACAGAAGAAATAAAATTTATTTTCAATTAAAATTAAATTATATTAAAAATTTATGGGTAAGGCAGATTTTTTTCACCTGAGTATCAAACCTAAAATTTCACATCGTAATTGTCAGAAGCACCTGTCAGGTGAGCTGTGATTTGTAAAGTGGAAGCTGTAGCATTGCCTTTTCTTTCTGCATTATATGTGTATTCACTACAGATTTATATAGAGATGGAAACTCTTCTTTTTGGACTTTGATCTTGAATAGGAATATAAGCATTTATGGTCTTATGTATTCATGCCCCCCCACTCCCTTTTCTGTTGTCAGTGGTGGATCTTTCGTTTCATACAGGGCTATGAAGCTAAAAATAATTTCCTCTCTCCTCACTTGTGCTCCTTTGCTTTAATTTTAAAAGAAATTTTTTTCCACACTCAGCCATCTATGGACTTTTGTCCTTTGGGTCAGCTAAGAATGTATTGGTCGTCCATCCTCCCCCCCTCCGCCCCCCTTTTTAACATTTTATCATTTACTAGCACAACTTGTAGAGTGTTGATGATCCAAACTGGTCAAAACATCACTGCCTATTCAATTAGTAGGGATAAAAGTGTGTCGAGAGTTTGAATTAAGAGTCTCTTGTGCTTGTGTTGCTCTATTATGGCTGGTTGGGTTTGTTTTAGTTTTTAAGATCAGCTCTCTTACTCCTTGTAAACAACTAAAGGGAAATAAGTACACATCCAACACTGACTCTCAGAGGCCAGGGGCTGTGAGCCCATTGAACGGAGCCAGTTGGTCTCACCCTTGCCCTGCCCACACCCACGCACGTTACTGCAGTGCAGGTGGGAAGTGCCCACGTGCATCGTTCCTCTGCTTTTCAAACTGGATGCCCTCTCCATCTTTAACTTTTTACTGAAGTGTGCCGTGTGTACAGAAATACGTGCAGCGTATGCGTCTACAACTCCATGAATTTTCACAAACGCAGCACACACGGGCCACCACCCTGATCAACGTCAGATCAAGGACAGGGCACGCAGCACCGCACAGGAGCCCACACACACTCTCTGGGTTAGCTCCCCGCCACCTTCACCCTGGCCTCCCACCCCTTCCACTGTCCCAGTTTCTAACAGAAAGAATTATTTTTGCCCATTTTTATATGCCCTATTATCTTAATTTAAAGGTCTTGGCAATAGATTTTGTTTTTTTAAGTCAAACAGTAGGGACCCCCCCACCCCCCGCTGCTGCTTTACTCTTTCAGAGGTTGTCTGTACTTCAGATCTCTGTTCACATCACCTTCCCTCCTCTTTAATTGTACGTTCCTTATAATCCAAGAGTTCCTTTTATGGGAAGGGACATGGTACTTCGGGGGTATCAAAGTTAGTATTTTTAAAGGTCTTGCTAATGGGAATGCTGAGATTTGGAATTTATCTTCATCACAAAATAAAGCTTTAGAAAACTTGAAATTAAAAATAAAAATACTAACAGTTGTGTATCTTTATGCAGTCCCTTACAATGATAAGGAAGAAAATTGTTCATTTTACTGGCTCTGATCAGAGAAAACAAGCAAATGCTGCTTTCCTTATTGGATGCTACATGGTAAGTATCTAACTACTTTCCCCATGTATATAGTGAAAATGCAGACAACAGTGGTACTTCAGATTTGCTGTTGGAAATTTGAAGTTATTTTTCTAAGATAATGTCTTGATTTTTTTCCTCCCCCAGAGAAGTAGGTTTTGCTTTTTAAAAATTGACCAACTGGGGAAGGGTGAGGGGGCAGGAGGCTTGTCCTTCTGCTTATTTTGCTGTGAACCTAAAACTGCTTTATAAAAACTATTAAAAAAAAAATTAAAATGACCAGCTATAATGAAAACCTTTGTGTTATGACACTTAAGGTTAGAAAATAATGTCTTCCAAGTTATGTCGGTTACTAACCCGTGATCCATTTAGTGAAGTTGTGAAAGTGGAGTCAGGACCAATAATTGATTTTTTAAGAAAAATCTAAATACACCACACGAGGTAAGAGTGCTTTATAATTTGAATATAAACACTTTTTTCCTAACTAATGTGTGATTCTAAGATTACCTTCATTCTCATCAGAGCATCTAGCGGGAGGACATGGCGTGTCAGTGATGTAGAAAATGGCATTGAGTGGTTGGTCTATTTGGGCCGCTGAAAGTATGTGTGTTTTCAGAAGTTATGAATTTCATGTGTTTGTGAATATCATGGAAAATACTTGTGGGAGGGGTTGGTGTTTTTGAGTCAGTTTTTCTCTACGTCTAGTGCATTCACCTGCAGGAACCTCAGCAGTAGTTTTTCCCTAGCCAGCTAAGAGCTCCTCCTGAGCAGAGCCCCCCATCTTTTTGGTGGTAGGGAAACAAGCTTCTCTCACTCAGTGGAGGGGAATAGCAAGTGGGTGTCTCTTGGACCTCCACCCACCATATTTGTAATAGTTACTCTCCTAGATTTAAAAAACAGAGGGGTTGCTTTTGTTGCTGAGATAAGTTCTTTCTTTCCTCAGCTTGTGACTTGATTCTGACATGCTTCCTTCCTTTTTAAGATATATATCTTTTCTGATACATAGTTTGATAATCTGGAATTTACATTGATTAGACCAAAAGTTGATAGAATTAGTTAAAATTTCACCTCAAAATTTAATAATTTCTTTTTCTATGTCCAAGGTATTTGATTAACAACAATGATTAAGGCCTTTTGGGCTTTGTTTTCCTACTTGTGCCCACAAAAGTGGTTGAGAAATGCTTCTGAGATAACTTTAAGTTTTATTATCATCTCTAAGTTTATGAAACAGAGGTTGTAGATTGTGTCTATTAGAATTTGATTTCCTAACCTTACCCAGATGTGGTGGTGTTTGTTGTGCTTAGCAGCAAAAGTCCTTAGAGGGAAAGAGTCTGAGCAGGGTCCCGAGAAAAAGTATGGAGAGGTGGCTGTTTTAATGAGGGTGTTTGCTCCCATTACTTGGCGAGACGCTGGGGCAAAGAACCCCATGATTAAATTTTGATAGGTTTATAGAAAAAGGGACTCAGCCAGAATTCATGAGGTTTATAACATATTACAGGGGGCCCTGGAGAAATGGTCCCTGCATTACAGTAAAAGTCTTTACACTGCCCAGGAGAAAACTGGCTGGCTGGAGCCGGTCCGTCGAAGAGAACGTGCTCCTGAGCAGCACACACGGAGCTCTGCCTGGGCTGTTTTTAGGCAGCAGTTTGTCCCTGGTTTGATGAGATGTCCCCAGGATGGTGGGTCCTGAGGAACCAGACCTGGTGACATCAGTGTGAAGAACCCCTGTGAGGGTAGCTGTGGGAGTGGTGGGAACCAAGGGTTGTCATAAAAGACAAAAACAAAAGACTTGATAATTTTATAAATAAGAAATCTCCCTTTTTAAATTTTGTCGCTGTTTTTTACTGCTGATTAAAAAAGTAACCCCTTGGCATATTTTTTGAAAATTTGTTGGCATATTTGTTTGCAGTTTGGTGTTGGCCTTTTGACTTTAAGGTTGTGTTTTGATACTGTTAAAGAATACAAAATCAGCCCAGTAAATTTAAAGATATAATTGGCTTCATTAACAATTCATGCATTGGTCAGCATCCCATCTGGTAAATAGAAAGGTGCTCCAGGAGTGTAAAAAATGAAAGGTTCTTATAGGTAGAGAGAGGGTCGGACAGTAAGTCCTGAGAGTGGGTTATTTCAGACAGGGTCTTTTAAGGCAGATTACTTCATTAATGCTGACCTGGAAATTCCAGACTGATTGGTTTAGAATTCCATTCCTGGGGTGGCCAACACTGCAATTAGGTTAGGTATTAAGTCTTGGTGTGGCTTAGCAACAGTGATTCCTTTCTGGGCTTGTTGTTTCTTTTTAATGGCAGGCAGAAGTTAATTTGGGGGGGATTTAATATATTTTAGATTTACAAATCCTTTCAGGATTTTATGCTCTCAGGTTAGCACTGATTTGATTGGTTAGGAAAGTGCCAGGTAAGCAATTTGGAAATCCACTGAGTTCATTCCTCGGCTCAGCTAGATGCCAGCTTGGCAGGAGGATTACAACTCTTGGCTGTAGCAAAAGTGTTTGCAGCCATGAAGGGCTGGCTAAAGTAGGAGCGTGGAACTGTAATGATGCTAGGTGTGGAGACAGGAGAAAAACATCTAAGAAAAGGAAATTTATTAATAGTAGCAAAGGAGTGTCAAGATATAATGTGGATACCTCAAAAGAACATCAAAATAAGTGAACATTTTGATCTGGTTGAAGTCTGTTGAATTCTCTGATTAGAGATTTATAGAGAGAGAGGAGTGAGAATTTCCTAAAAATTGGTCTTCGGCCTTGACAACCTGTTCTGGAATTGTTGAGGGATTTTGGAGTTAGTAAAGCTTTTAGTGATTGACTTGGGGGGAGGGTAATGTTAAAACAAACAAACAAAAAATCTGGAGAAAGACTCAATGTCCATTCCAAATGGGCTGAGTCTGTCTCTGCCCTTTTAAACTCTGGGCCTCCCAATTCCTCCATCCTGCTCTCTTCCGAAGGACCTAATGAGGGTGTGGAGGGGGTGTGAGATTAAAGCACGACTATTTCTATTTTTTATCCTTAAACAGAAGAGGTTAGGCTTTACAGATACTTAAAATAGGATTGATAGGCCCATGCTCCCTGGAGCTTTTGTCACGTGGTCAGGCGCCATCGGAGGCATAAGAAATGAGAAGAGCAACTTGACTGTTCAGCTGCCTTCAGTGTATTTCCAAGTATTGCACTTCATGTGGCTTGATCCATGGGGTTTACCAACTACCCCGCATGGTAGAATCTTTGAAAACTAAAAATCTTTGCAACCAGACTATAAAAGAGTTGAAGAACTCTGGGTTAAGGTGGCTGGCGGTAGGCCGTCACTGGAGAAGTTAAGACAAGGGGAGCAGATGGGAGAGGACCTGGGAACAGAGGGTAAGAATCCCACTGGGCAGGTGGACGGCCAGAGTCTTTGTAAACTCACCTCCCAGGCAGACCGCCTCCTGAGTGTCTGAAAGGCTGGGCAAACAGCAACTAGGCAGCTGTAAGTAGGAGCAGGCACCAGGGAACGTGAGGTGCCTTGGAGCCATGGCGGGGGGACAGCATCCTTCGGGCTCTGCCCTTGGAAAGGCCTGTGGTTAAGGCAGCTGGCTGAGGTCATCGCAGTTCATCACAACTTCCCTTTTCACCCTAGTGAGCCTGACTCACATTCCAGCTGCCTGTGGTACTTGCTAAGTGGTATTAACTTCGGGAAAGAGTAAAGAGAAATGGTACTTGTTTTAGAGAGCATGGTTTCTTGTCTATAAATAAGGCCTGAGCAGTAAGGCCCTCTTCCATCAGTAATAAGCAGTGTGATCTTGAGTGAGCTGTCAACACCACAGGCTGGAAAACAGTAGCGTGCCAGCTTCATGTAACTCAGAGTGTTTATAAATAGTTGTGTGTTTATGCCAGTGTTTAAAACTTAAGAGATTTCCTTTTTTAAAAATTAAGATTTTTTTCTTTGTCTTAAAAAAATGTCCCTACCACTAAGATAGTATATATCCCTATGCACTTTTCCTCTGGGCAATTCCCTCACATCTGTTAGCTGCCTGCAGACGTGTTTGCCACTCCAGATGCCCAATTTCCCATTATCTAAATTGGGGATTATTATACCAACCTACTACATATATATAAATAATAGCAATTTAAAAATTAAAACTATTGAAATAGAAGGCCATCTGACTTTTTCTAAAAAGTGATTTAGAATTTTTTTTTCTTACTAGTATTTGTGTAGAAACTGTGAAAGTGATTTTATCTCATTTTCTTATTTTATCATAAAATTGTTTATTATATATTGTCTTTCTCTGCTCACCTTTTTTTATTCAGCGGTTGGATCTTTAAACTTATTTCCAACTTGCATTGATTCATTAACATTCTGTGTTACTCTGGAGAGTGATTTTTTTTTTTTTAAGAAAAGATCAGTCAACTTCATGGCATAGGAAAGATGCTGTCATCTGGCTGACGTGAAAATATGGTGACATGGAAAATATTGATGAAACATTGAGACATTTATCCTTGAAGAATATTTGAAAATAGTTTCCTGGTTTATCAGGCTGCCACATTTCCTGTGGAATTGAAATACCTTGTGTTATTCTTGAGTCAGATAATGATTTATAATGTATCAAAGGCTCTCTAAGTACATAGGTTAAGCTTTAAAATGTTCTGTACAAGAATAGAAGTAAGCATGTGTCTAAGTAATTGTGTTTAATTATTTAATCGTGTTTTATTATTTGAGATTGTCAGGACTGAAACTATAAATGAGCAAGTTGTGATCCTTTTGTTTCAGCCCACCAATTCAGCCATGGCTAATTGAGTCCCTCCCAGGTTTTGAAACGTAAATAAGTAATAAGTAATCCACGGTCAGAAGTTTTCTCAGGGGCGAGGGCAGACAGATGGTAATTTTAAAAATGGGGGTGGCCCTAGCCTGTTGAGGCTCAGTGGTTAGAACATCGGCCTACAGACTTAAGGGTGTCAGGTTCGATCCTGGTGAAGGGCATGGACCTCAGTTGCAGGCTTGATCTCTGGCCCTGGTCAGGCATGTGTGGGAGGCAACCAATCAATGTGTCATCTCACATCCCTGTTTCTCTCTCTCTCTCTCTGTGTTTTTATAGAAATGGCTACAGTGTTGTTCAGCAAAAAAGAACCTTGTACCATGACTGGAAGCATTACTAACTTCTCAAGTACTTTCTATCCCTATATTTCATTCTTGTGAGCTTGCTTTTTGCTCCTTTAGAGAGATTTATTTATTCTTTTTTAAAAAAAATTTCTTTAATTGATTTTAGAAAGAGGAAAGGGGAGAGAAAGAGAAAGAGAGAGAGAGACAGAGACATCATTCAGTTGCCTCCTATATGGGCCCCAACTGGGGACTGAACCACAACCCACGCATGTACCCTGACTGGGAATTGAACCTGCCACCTTCTGGTGTATGGGGACAGTGCTTCAGCTAACTGAGCCAGACCCACCAGGGCTGGAGAGAGAGAGAGATACACAAACTATGACATACACTTCTTACAGATGCTTCCTAAGCCGTGGAGGCTTCCTTACCTTAACATCTCTGTGCTTGTCACATATTTTTTTATTTATCCACTTTTAATAAACTGAAATGTTTGCTTCCTTCCCTATGTTTATTGTGCCACTGTACTATCCTTTGCTGCATTACAAATTATCCCAACACTTAGTGACTTAAAGCAATAATCAACATTCTCTGAGAGTTTCTGTGGGGAAGGTATCCAGAAGTAGTAGCTCAGGTAGGTCTGCTTCTGGATCCCAGTGGGCTGCAGTCATATGAGGGCTTGACTGGGGCCGAAGGCTCCACTGCTAAGACGGCCCCTTCTCATGCCTGCAAGTTATTGGTGGTGGTTGGCACGAGACCATCAGGTCCTCGCCATGTGATCTGGCCGAGTCCCCTCACGGAGTGATAGCTTGGTTTACCTGGGGCTGGAGTGAGGAGTCCAAGAGAAAGCAAGGCAGAAGCCACAGTGCCTTTTATGATCTAGCCTCAGAAGTCACACTTTGCCATTAGTGCAACATCAATTGCTTATACAGGGCCACCCTGTTCACTGTGGGCCACATGAGGGTGGAAACCCCGGGAGATGGGCATTGTTGGGGCTGTCTTGGAAGCTGGCTACCAAGCTGTTTAATTTCTCTGTTCATCGTTTGTTGCTTCCTATTTTTGGACAGCAGTGTGGAGTTAGAGTGGCCATTCTATATACATAGCTTCTCACGGAAATATACCAAAGGGCTTTGAGAAGCCACTTAGCTTCCAGATTGCCAGGAACACAGTGACGGCTCCTAAAATTGCATTGATTTAGAGTTTACTGATTTGAGAATTTGTGTTCATGGAGCCACTTGTAGGATTTTTCTTTAGTAACAAATTTAGAATAATTTCATTTGGGGAGGCCTTTTGACTAGGAAAATGAATGGGTGTAAAATTTAAAATTATAGATTGTTAGCAGATATTCCTTTGGTGGCTGTGTCTTAGTCCTTCGGGGCCACTGTAACAAAATACCAGAGACTGAGAGGCTTTAAACAACAGAAATGTATTTCGCACAGTTCTGGAGGCTGGGAGTCTGAGATCAGCTGCGGGGATCGCTCTGGAGCCCCCCTTATAAGGCACTAACCCAGCATGAGGGCGGCTTCCCAAAGGCCCCATTCGCTGACACCATCACCATCACCATCACCATCACCATCACCATCACTGTGGACCTTGGAGTTTCAACAGGAATTTGGGGCGAGGTGGGCGGGACACAGGCATTCCGACCACAGCATTGTGTGAAGAGACTTGCTTTGACGGCACAGTCCTTCAGCGCATCTCCTTTCCCCAACATCGCCTCTCCTGCACCCCGCTGCCCAGCCCCCAGCCGAGCATCATTTGTTTGTTTTTTCGTCTTTCTCATTCTTATGTATTTTCTTTGGTTGTATTTGTCCCAACTGGATTTAAAAAGTACATTTTTTAAAGTTCATCACTAGGAATTAGGATTTTTTCATAGGAAAAAATGTTATATTCTGTGTTCTTTGAGTTGAACTTGTGTCCCAAGGCTAACCTGCAGTTATTTAATGTATTAGAGATGATTTTTGTTTTGAAAGTGAGAAGGAAATAATGCCCTTGTAATTTTAGTAATTAACAAAACCAAAGATGTGCAATCCTGAGCAGGAGGAATGATCATTAATCTGGTGCTTAAGAAAAAACTTAAATAATTTGAGAGAAGGTCTTATTTGAAATTTAGGGAAAATCTGAAAGTGGTCTGTGGATTTCATTTAACTAAATTACTTATATATACATATATACGTGCACACACACACATACCTATATATACCTAGACACAAATGAATCAAACCCTCTTCTCCCCTTCATTGGCCTCCAGGTATTCTCTTATTTGTTTTTATTGTTGTGTTTTTGCTCTTATGGGGGGTTTATTTGGAAGGGGTCTGCTAGGAAGTCCCAAAATAGAATGAAGAAAAGGCTGACATTATCTGGGAAGCCTTAGATGAGAAAGGAAGCATGTTGGAGACTAGCAGAAAATGAGGAAATCGGGGAGGAGGCTGAATGAAAAAAGTTTTAAAATTTTTTTATTAAAAGAATTGTTACACTGTTTTTTCCAAATAGTAATAAAGTAGAAAGTCAATTGATAGGTTGATGCTTAAAAGATGGAAGTGTGGAGTAAGTAATGTATAGACAAGTATAATATGTTGAGTGAGATTAGATCTTGTGGTTCATTCATGATAAATTATAGGCTTCTATGAGTCAGTAATAGTATACTTGAAAATTGGTTGATACTAGATAGCAAAGCAATTCTTGGAATTGAGTTCTTTGTAATACCTCCTGTGTGCTCATATTGCTGCTGCAGACAAATAAAGGTTAGACATCCTGTATAGTTAATTATAGTTTTATATTCTTTTTAGTGTAAATCGGATGAAATCATATTGAGAAACAGGCTAGACATTGGGGAAATTTCCCATTTATGAATCTTAAAACTGAAAGTTGATAAAAAGCCCCCTGGAAGGTAAGTCAGCTGTTTCAGGGGATAGGTCCCTCTCTAAGTTTCAAAGATCCTTGCTGAGTCTCGGATTTTTAGAACTTCTCTTAATCCAATGATATATTTATATCAGTTTTTTATCAGTTATTTAAATTTTTCCTTTATGTTGACTTAAGTTCAGTGAATTAAACAGTGAATCAGAGTCCATATATAGTGTACCCACCAAGAGTTACAGCGAAGCGTAAGATATGGGTCCCCACCTCAGACGCTCACCATTTGCTTGAGCAGACAGCTCATGTATAATAAGTAGTGGAGATAAAGCTTTTATAACTTTTTCAGTGACTTCTTTACTACTCAGAAGTTAAAGCGTATTACATGAGGCTAAAGTAAGCTCTAGAATCGAATCCAGTATTGGTGATACGTGTGCCGAATCCGGTGCCCCAGCCTCCTCCCCCCTCCATGAACTGAGAGCGCCCGCCTGCAGGCAGGCTCTGAGTTAGGGGGGGACTTGTGCCTTCAGATAGAGGGGGTCAGGAAGCCCCGGCAAACGTAATGGGGCGCGGGGTGACTTCTTCAGAGGGGGGCCGGGGAAATGCTCAGCTCTGAGTCTGCAGAGCAGGGGGAGAATGACGCTGGCTCAGCACCTCTGCAAGAGTAAACGAGAGGACAGTGCAGCCGCATCTCTAAACCATTGAGAGAAGGGCTGCGGACCAGGAGCTGCACAGACCTGCAGACCTGGTCAGAAAGGCAGGGCAGGAGGCAAGAAAGTTTGGGAAATGCGAGGAATACTGGCTGCGGACCTCGGCTGCTACAGAACCTCCTTGAAGCATTCTAGCAGGTCCAAGTCGACGCAAACGTACTTCTGAAGGTAAACGGAGCAAGTGCCCTTTTGGAGGAAATCTGTGCAGGATTACGAGTAGTTACACGTAAGCGGGCGGAGGTCGTCAGTCTTTGTTCTGCTCTTGTGTCCCTTCCCTCTCATCCCTGTCCCAGTCCGTCCCCAACCCCGTGTACCTCACACTTCCTGTCATTTCGGGATTTTTAGGAAGGAGGTGAGGTAAGAGCATGTGCTCAGTCTAACACCCTGATTTAGAAAACCTGTTATTTATTTAAATCACTGCATAGGTTTTGTTTTGTTTTTAAAAGATTTTTTATTGATTTTTAGAGAGGAAGGGAGAGGGAGAGAGAGAAACATCCATATGAGAGTGGAACATTGACTGGCTGCCTCCTGCACACGCCCTAAAAAGCCAGGCATGTGTCCTGACCCGGAATCAAACTGGCAACCCTTTAGTGCACCGGATGATGCCTAACTAACTGAGTCATACTGCCCATGGCTAGAAAATCAGTTTTAAAATTGCTGTACTTCTTACCACAGAAGGTTCTTAGGGGAAACTTGGTCACGGCTCTTATTGCAAGCAACAGAAACCAGCGGTGGCAGATTTAAACAAAAAAGGGATTCCCCAGCAGGATACTGGGTGACAGGATCCTTGGGAAGGCTGGAGAACCAGTCTCAGCCGACTGCCTGGAAATCGTACAAAACTTCACAATGACAGCACTATATCTTCATTTAGAATTAAATTGCCTTTTTCTTCCCTTTTCAAATGTAGATTATCTATTTGGGGAGAACTCCAGAAGAAGCATATAGAATATTAATGTTTGGAGATACATCCTATATCCCTTTCAGGTAAATATAAGAATGATATGGTAAATATATGAATAATCTGGTCCTTGCCAGAAATGTCTTGGTGTTGTGGTTTCTGATAAAGGATAACCTAGTAAGTAGTCATTTTAGAGTGGGTGCAAATAGCACCACAGATTGAGATTACTCAACAGTAACACTATTGGTAGTTTGTTGTAGGGTCTATCCTGTGTATTACAGGGTGTTTAGCAGCATCCCTGGCTTTTGCCCATTAGATGCCAGTGACACCTTCATCCCCACAACAATTGTCAGAACTAAAAATGTCTCTAGTCATTGCCAGATGTCCCTGGAGGTGCTGCTGCTGGTGGATTGCTCCTACTTGAGAACCACTCCTCTTAATGGGATAATCAGATGAGAGTCCTGACTTTTGGTACTCAAAACTACCACAAGGAGTTTGGTTCCTGAGGAATTAAGAAATAAATTTTCCCACTAGTCAGGAGTTAACTTAGGGGGTAAAAACTAACCCTTTTTTCCTGGGGTCACAGCCAGCAGAGAGAGTGTATAATCTAAACAAAGACATGATGCTGAATGTGTAATAAATGTGTGAAATAATTTCACTTGTCACATGCTGTATGGATAATCTCAAATATTGCATTTTTCCACTCACAAATTAGGAGCATTAGGATTGTTGCTTATACCTCAAATGCCTGATTTTGAAGTTATGGTCTTGCCTTTAAAACGTTAAGTTCTAAGTCTGACTTTACTGTGGATGAGCTTTGGGACAAGTCTCCCTAACTTTATGCAGAAGCTCCTCCTTAAGGATCAGCCATGGACTTACTGCATGAAATAGATTTGTTAGGACAGTCTGCAGACTGTTAGGACAGCACTACTCAAGACTGTATATTAGTGATATAGCAAAGTAGAAGCATTGCTCTGAACTCAGTACCTTTCCTTCCTAGCGCATGGATCATCTTAAGTTTTCTGTTACTTGTGAGTAGGGAGGGATGAATGTTATTTCTAAACTGGAAAGTGCTTCATTTGTCTTCTGAGCCTAAAATGTAACAGCAACCATGTGCTTCCTCCAGAAAAAAATGCTTATACGTTTGGTCCCTGAGTGGAGGTGCATTGATACACAGGGATCATTTCGTTCTCTGTAACTGTTCCTTGTTCCTTGTATTGCTAGTCCTTTACACTAGTGCCATTCTCAAAGTTCTGAAATACAAATGCGCTCATGTGTTTCACCTAATCCACTGTTGATGTAAAAGAAGTTGTATGTTCATTTAAATATAGGGGCCAGAATAAAATAAATGCTACTTACTGCTACCCCTGTGTTTAAATTATTGAAGTTTGGCAATGAGAAATGAAGTTGGCTACTTCTGGTCCCAGGAGCGGAAGTCAGCAGTTCTCTGATAAACAGGACTTAGCTAGAAACAGTTCAGGCTTATGAAATTTGAGTCGCTTCAGTCACCTGGGCCAGATATTTGATTTATCTAAAGCATTGTTTCTCAAAGAGGAGCCTGTGAAAGAGGGCTGGGTTGTGAAATTTTTGTTGCCAGCCTATGATGACATAAATACAGGAATTGAGAGTTAAGAGTTCAGAGACTTTTATAGTAATTTAATAGAGTATGTGTATGTCTGTGGAATCAAATAATAGAAGAATTTGGTCTAGTATTTTATCTTTTTTTCCTTCCACTTTTCTAGTAATTCATTTTTATTTACAAAACTAAGGTTATTGCATTATTTTGTGTATGTAATAGTACAATATTATTGTATTTTAAATGTATTTTACAAAAAAGTATCAGCCTGTGACAGATGTAAGTATCTGGTGCTTCACCACATTTTACTGGTCTGTAGAACTTACTGATTAGCTAAAGCTAGATAAGGGTTTGAAAGAAATCACATTGTAATAGCCTCTTACCTTTCCCACTTTAGGTTCATAGAATATAACTGCTAACAAAGTATTGTTCACAAGGGATTGTAAAGAAAAGCATTTGTTTACAGTCAGTAACTTTTATACTCCTTAGCAATATTTAATTCAACTTAGACGTACTTCAACTGCTGAGTTTACATATGTATATGCATCAATGTATGATTTCTTTCTTTTTTAAAAATTACTAATACTTTATTTTTATTTATTTTTATGCCTTTATTGATTTCAGAGAGAGGAAGGGAGAGAGGGAGAGAGATATAGAAACATCAGTGATGAGAGAGTCATTGACTGGCTGCCTCCTGCACGCCCCCCACTGGGGATCGAGCCTGCAACCTGGGCATGTGCCCTGACTGGGAATCAAACCTCGATCTCCTGGATCCTAGGTCGATGCTCAACCCCTGAACCACACCGGCTAGGCTGATTTCTTTTTTTTAAAAATTATTATTATTTTCAATTACAGTTGCTTTTCAGTATCATTTTGTATTAGTTTCAGGGGCACAGCAGAGTGGTTAGATAATCATATACTTTGCAAAGTGGTTGCTCTATTATTTTAAGTACCCACCTGGCACCATACATAGTTATTACAATATTACTGAGTATACAATATATGATTTCTTAATGAATTATTAACTATTTCTCTGCCTAAGTGAAAAAATAGTATAAAATATAGTTCCACATTTTCTTTTGATACCTTAGGATTATTGTTATGAAGCGCATCTATCTCTATTCTTTGACATTACCTAGAATACTCCTCTGCTTCTTAGTTGATTTTGTGGGGCATGGGGGTCTCTGCTTTCTGTTTTTTACAGGTGATATTGCATAGTTGCTAATAGCTTGGCTATTTTGACATTAGACAGATGGAATTGTGACACTCAGCTGTGCCATTAATACGTCCATGGTCCTTTACAAATGTGAGCTTGGCCCCTGTGAGTGGGAAGAGCTGTATCTCCCTAATGGGGCTGTGAGGATCAGGCAAATTCCTGCATATAAACACTTGGTATAGTGCTTGGTCCTCAGCTAACATTTGTTGAACATTCATACATTTTTTTAGATGTATAACTTACGTACAACTTTTAAAAATCACTAATCTTATGTATTATATAACACATATAAAACTTTTATATAACACATATATAAACTTTTACTTGTGCATATACCTACCACCTAGTTCAAGGTACAGAACATTGCCAGCACCCTGAAGATTCCCTGCGCCCACTTTCCAGTCAGCAGTACCCACCCCTCCAAGCTATGGCTTCTACCACCGCCAGCTAGTATTCTTGCCTTTGAATGTTATATAAAGGAATCATACAGTGTGCATTTTGGAGAGCTGGGATCTAGCTTTTTAAACACTATGTATGACGTTTATCCATGTTGCAGCAGATATCAGTAGTTCATTTTCTTTTTATTGCTTTCATAGCACTATGAGCATGTCACAATTTATTTACCCACATTGTCCTTTTGATGAGTACTTAGGTTTTTGTGGTGTTGGCCTAGAATGAATACAATCCCCTTTGAAAGCTGTTATTCTTAAAAACTTTGACATTGCTTTGCAGTTTCTATGCAATACTCCTTCATTGATTTGCATCTGATTTTCTAAGTTTGTTAAATGATCATAGTGCCAAGCCCCCTCTTCCGGCCAAGGCTTACATCCAGGTTCATAGCTGCTATTCTGCTGTTTTGAAGAAGCCTGATTGCTTGGGTGGGAGGAAGGAGATGGTAATGAAATAATCATTAGTGAATAAAGAAAGGTTCTTATTGTCTATTCAGGTAGTGTGATGTATGAGGCAGAACTATAGCTGAGCCCAGGTTAAAGCTTGTTGGATCATCATTGACTAGAGCAAGGTTTGGCCCACAGTAGGTTCTCCAAAAATATACATCGAATGCATGTTTCAGATTGTCGCACAGATTGACCCAACATGCCTTTAACTGGATTGGAAAAGAATTATCAGTATGTTAAGAAGATAACAATCCTAGACGTGGCTAAAAACTTGGGGATGTAACTTGAGAGTTCATCCTATTTTCACTGATACTTTTGATTTTGATTGAGAGTAAACTACTTCATTGTTAACTTAGCGTCTCTTCCTAAAAACGTTCCTATTTCATAAAACATTATTTTTATGAAACAAGTATTTGTGTTGATTATCTACTTCAGTGGTTCTTAAACTGAACATACATCATAATCACCCGCTTGAACAAAAATTACCTGGCCCCACCCCTAGAACTTCTGACCCAGCAGATCTGAGGCAGAGCCTGGGAATTGGTGTTTCTAACAGGTCGGGTGATACTGATGCTGCTGGTCAGGAACCCCACTCTGAGAATCGCTGCTGCAGGTCATTTTGTGTTTCTCCTTCCCCACTGTTGTTAATGAGCTATTGGTAAAATACAAAGCTTTAGAAGAGCAGCTTTTAAATTCAGACGCTTACAGAACAAAAATGGCAAGCTCTAAGACCTAAAGGCCAGCATGCAACATACTCGGTAGCCCTAACCAGTTCAAGCAGTAACATCCGAAACTGTGAGCTGAGATGGATGCCCTTACTTTTCCTCATTGTGAGTTTAATGTTGCTATAATCACCTACATTATTAAGGTTTGTGCAAGAATTAGAAATTTTAAATGTGCAGTTTAATTTTTCAGGTTAGTAATATTACAATGTGAAAAGCCAACCGAGGCAGGCAATTGACAGCTCCAGTCAAATGTTATCCTTCCACATAAGGATTAAATGTTACCATTTAGAGAGGCACAGTTGTTTGGCATGTCTAGAATGAGCATGATTAAATTAATTTTATCTTACTTAGTTCTCAGAATGTTCACTCTGTAATGGCTGAAGGCAGTGAAAAAGGAGACGCAGGTGGCAATGTAGAAGCACCTCATTTTCTGGACGGAGCCCTCACTGGTGTTAAGACCTGTGAAGTAAGGATTGCTGAGGGTTGGCGCAGCGCTGGGCAGAGTTGCCTGCAAGCTAACCTGAGCACTTCCCGAGGGCAGAGCGATTCTACCAAGGGCAGTCAGTGCCTTAGTTCCTGTGGTTTTATTGGTGCCGTTGTCCTTTAAGAATCAGAAAGAAGTCAATCCAGTTAAGTTGTTAAAAACTGTAAAAGCATAATGAGGAAAGAAAATGCTTTTAGCTTGCACCTAGTGTTTCAGGTAGGACTCTTTTTCCTTTTTGGGTGGAGATGGTACCCAAGCACATGCGTGCCTACACACACACAGGTACGTGTATATAGAGAATCCAAAAGCAGGCTGGCCCGGCCGGGCGTGGCTCAGCAGCTGAGCATTGACCTCGGACCCAGGAGATCGAGGTTCGATATCCGGTCAGGGCACATGCCCGGGTTGCGGGCTCGGCTCGATCCCCAGTCAGGGCCGTGCAGGAGGCAGCTGATCAATGACTCTCATCATTGATGTTTCTCTCTCCCTCTCCCTTCCTCTCTCTGAAATCAATAAAGACACATTTTTTTTTAAAAAGGCAATCTTTCTTGGTAATGGTTTGATATGGTATTTTCCAGTATGAAGAGAAAATTCAGTACCTTGCTCTTTTGGGGCAGGGGTCCATGTTATTGATTGGTAACTCTTGAAGCTCAGCTGTCAAAGCCAAAAATGATCCAGAGAAATCATTTACAAATTAGGAAGTGGATTATTGGCCCCCGTCTATGAAACATTATCTACTGGAGTAGGTAGCAACAGCAGGAAAATGTATAAAGTGGCTTATCTTTTATTTAAAAACCAAACAGCAAGAATTCTTTTCTCTTTTTCTTGAGGCTTGCTCTGAGTATGTGTTTGATTTTAAATTCTAGTCAGCTTTGTTTTGAGTAAGTGCACTGCAGAAAATTAACTGAGCTGTGTATTTCAATACTTTTGGGCTTTCAGAGATGCTGCCTTAGGGAGCTGCAGTTTCTTCATCACCCTTCTGGACTGTTTTCATGCGGTGAAGAAGGTGAGTGACTAAGGGAGCCCCCACTGTCGCCAGGGAACAAGTACATGCAGCCCAGGGAAGGCAGGGTCTTCCCCAAAGGTCCCCTGTGCATGCAGGATGTCGGAGGGGCCGTTTCCCACTCAAATTAGAATGAGCCCTTCTGACTGCAGTTCCAGTCGCTGTCAGACGGGGCTCAGGAAGCTGCTAATGTTGGCAGGCATACTGTCCTAACCCTAGGGCTCCCTTCTCTCAACTCCCGCCACCTTTCAAAAAAGAGCACAAAAACTTTGAGGGCCTGGGAAATGCACCCTTGTGACAGTGTATAGCTGTTTATGTTGTTAATTCTTGGCTTAGTTTTTTTAACCAGACCTAATTAAGAACTCTAGGTCAAAGATTACTCTTTTCACAGTACGTTTAATTTTACTGAAGAGTCAGCAGCTTCTGATTTTCAACTTAAACATTTGTTTGTGACTGATTTCAAATATTGCATACCTGAAACATTTATAAATGTAATTATGTCTTCATTTTAGTGCTACTTCTAATAGGATCACCTTATGAAATTCAAAGGAGAATAGAAATTTCCTATAAATTGCCTTTTACTGTATCATTCTGTTAGGAACATCTCTAGTCCAAATATCATGACATGTATTGAGTACTGTGAATTCAAGGAAATAAAATTCATCATGGATTTGGTCTTGGAGTTGGAATATAAAGAACTACATTTCATAAAATGAGTACTTTTTGCTTGGTATTGCAGCCTTCATATTTTTCATTTATATTTCAATTCTTTAAATTTTGAAAACTGAGTTTATAAAGTCACCCCTTTTCAACCAAGATTATCTTGTTTTTTCTGTTGTTTTCCATTTTAAAAAATTCTACTTACTGGGGTGACATTAGTTAATAAGATTGCCTTGTGGATCATGAATTCTAACTCATGTACTTTCTGGCTCAGAGAATACTTCTCAGAGGCCGCCAGCTCGTCCTTGTCTCAGAAAGTACATCCTCTGCTTATTTCATTTAGCTGCTCTGCCCACCACAACACAGGACAGAAAACTTAAGTATTTTTTTCTTACTGAAAGAAGAAACTTTTCCCCTCAAAAATTTGAATTTTAGTGTTGATCTCCAGGCTGTCTTTAGTAGAGGGAATATTAACCTCTTAATCCAAGAAGAATTTGACAGTGAAAACATTTATGAAGTGTATGGGGTTTGTTGGGGATAAACTAACCTTTCCTCTATTATTTATTTAGGGGCCATTGAGTTTGTGCATTATATTTGAAGCCCGAATGGGGTTGATCTAATGAGTGGGGTTGCTTTGAAGGCTCAATTATTTAGCTCTTCACGGACAGGATGACTGTGAAGGAAGATAAAACATCCAATCTCATTAAAATAAATACTGTTACAACTAGTCTTCCAGATAGCGGAAGCCTTTGAAAGACATATTTTGAAAACTATTCAGTGGAACATAATCTAAATACAACAGTGCGTTTTTGGGGGTGCCTCCTGAGGTTAGGCAATTGGATTGAAGGTTGTTTCCTTACTTGCACCTTTGGTCTTGAAAGCTCTCCTTTGGATTTTAGGCGATGCAGTATGGCTTCTTTAACTTCAACTCATTCAGCCTTGAGGAGTACGAGCACTACGAAGTAAGTTTTCAAGGGTACTGATTTTAATTCTCTGATTCAAGTTTTGCTTACAGAAGTATTATTGGTTTTAAAAATATTGAACAGTTTAGATGTGTATAGAGTATAAAACAGTCTGGTGTTGAGCCTCTTACTGCACTCCCGGTTCCTGGTGGGGCTTTCTGCACTCGCTGCTCCTTCCAGAGTGAATGAGCGTGCTCCTGGGCATTTCTCTTCAGTGTTTAGTTTAAAAAAGTCTTTCAGTATTGACGACTTTCCTGGAGTGTCTAGATGAGATCATGTTTGTGAAGCCCTTAGCAGAGAATCTGATGAGATGGATAAAAAGTCATGATACATCTAATTAGCCTGGAAAATATGTTTGTATCAGAACTGTTTGTATTAAGTCAGGACACTTCTAGTTGCAAATTACAGAAAGTAAACACATATGGCTTAAGTAAAAAAGGGAAGCTTTATTGATTTTCATAAGTAAAAAGGCCAGGAGCAAGTGTATTATCATGCATGACCAGATTCAGGTGCTCAAACACTTACCCGAAACTGAGCTGAGAGAAGCTCGCTGTGTCCCCAGGCCAGTGGCCCTCAGTAGTGATGAAGATAGCCACCAGCGGCTCTGATCCACCCATTTCGCAAATTCACCAGAAAAGAGCATCCATGGCTGCAGCAGAAGACCCACGAAGTCCTCTCGTTGTCCTGGCTTAGATCATATCCCTAGCCCTCAACCAGGCATATTCCTAGCAAGGATGGGGGTAGGCGGGTGTAAAATACCCGGATCATCCCAGGAGCTGGAGTGCTGGCTGGGGTCAGCCCTATCAAGCCACACAGACCAAAAAAAGAGAGTGCAGGCAGGCAAAACCACAGATATCCTTGACTCTTTTTAATGCAGTGTATTTTTTTTTAAGAAAAGTAATTTGATTCTACTATTTAGTCCATCCTTCAAATAGATAAGTAATATGCTTACGCTAAAGGTTTTTTTCAGCCAAGAATGCTGTGGGATCTTGTCTTTTTATCTTACTATAGTTATCTAGAACAGACATTGTCACTAACAAAGGAGTGATTTCGCAGACAACATTTTATGCAGCCATGTCTTGAATCTTCACGTAACTGTTCTTTCACAGTTAATTTCTAATTGTTTTAAACCCTTAGACATAACTGAACTATTTTACTGATGAGTAGGGTTAATAGTTAACGATCAGTCACTACTCAGATGTGCCCATAATATAAAAGCATAATGTGGGATTCATTAGGTCGCACCCTATCTTTACTTCTGTGTAATAGCAATACATTTCTAAAGTACAATATGTATTTAATTTACCGTATTACACTATTGACTGCAACTTAATTATTAACACTGTTTTTTGGTGCTTCTCCTTATAAAAGTAAACATTTAAAGTAAAATATACTTTCATTCCTATGTAAGCAAAACTCCTAAAAACACCATCTGATGTTCCTTCTTTGTGGCACAGCTGTGCTAAGGAGCAATGTTGACTCTCATTGGCTTCTCTCTCACTAATGTAGAAATTCCAGTGTTGGCAGGAGTAGCAGGGTCACTCACAAATATAGTTTACTTTCAGTGAACTTGCATTGAGACACAGGGAACTAACTGTCCAGGTAGCTACAGACAATGGTAGCTCACAGACTGGTTTTGTTTAGTCTCCACAGTGTATTTAGGAATTTTGGCTTGCTGTTTCATTGATTCCATGATGCCCATTCCCCCCTACCCCCTGTTTTAACTTCTCTGAATTCAGGATGCATCTTATAATCACCTTCAGTTCAATGAAATCTAACTGTAGGTTTCTCGTTAAAAACTTCAGGTTTCTGGTTTCACTTGAAAATCAGAACACCCGGAAACACTCGTCCTCATTCCGATTTAGAGCTTTTAGCGTGGTACACGTGCTCGCCGACTCTTCTCCACAATTAAATAAGTCGGCTTGCCTGGCCTGTAGATGTTCAAGCAATCTTGGTTTATTTCTTCCCTGTCACATGTACACACCCCACTTGCAAAGCTAATTGATCTTATTTTTATCATCGGTTCTCTTCTTCACTGTCAGTTTCTCCTACTCCCTGCTTAAGTCTTTATGTAACCATTTCTGCTGTTGTTAAATTTGAACTATATCTTATAAGAATTGTTATGGCAAAGACTCAGTAACAGGAGGTAAAATGTTCTAAATTTCAGTTTTTTTCTATAGACCTACTGTGATCTTAGTATACTTACAATTTCAAATTTCCTGGTGGTTTAGTGAAAAATTTTCAGTGTCCTTCTTATGAAATGATGGAAAGATATCTTTCTACAAATAAAAAGTAAATATTGAGAGGCCAGGAGCCTAAATAGATAGTTTTCCCTCCTTTGTTCAATGAGTCCAAACTGCTCATATTGGAAGTCAGTCATTCAGGAAAACTGAAGTTTTCAGATAATGAAAAGTTTCCTCATAATGGAAAAGTTTACTTTTATATTAATTAGCAGCGGCTCTGTGAGAATTTACTTGTATAAAATAGCCAGAGTACTTAGGCATATTTTGGATAGTGGCAGTCAGCTCCGTTTTCCAAAGGCTGACGACCTAAGCAAAGTGATTAGGACCAGAAGAAGTCAGCCGGCTTCCTGGGAATATTCAGAGCAAGCTTGATTTTAGTTTCCTGCCTCATGGACATTTCTAAACAGCTTTTGTGCTAAAGCAAGTGGATTTGAAGTTCAGCAGACAGTATTGAGAAGGGGTGTGGGAAGAAGATTCAGTATAATAATGAATTGTGCTGGTCTTTCCTTTGCAGAAAGCAGAAAACGGAGATTTAAATTGGATAATACCAAACCAATTTGTTGCCTTCTGTGGACCTCATTCAAGAACCAGACTTGAAAGTGGTATGCAAAAATATAGGACCAATGTAGTTTTGTTATTAAAAGTATCCATCTTGTATTATTATTGTTGTTTTTTTAAGAGGCCTAAGAGTTCAACTAAGTTTGATGGTCTTAATTATTTAAGTATATTTCTTCATTTCAGTACATTATTCTGCCTGAATTTTAACTTTTTTTATTTTTATTTTTTTACAGTTATAATCAAATTGGTATTCAATCCCTAGTCTAGACACTGTTTCCACACAATTACAGGTGAAATTGTTATCCATTGTTTTCTTTCTGCGTTTTACAATGTTTGGTAATTTCTTTATGTAGGTTACTACCAACATTCTCCTGAGGCTTACATTCCCTATTTTAAGAATCACAACATTACTACTATAATCCGCCTGAATAAAAGGATGTATAATGCCAAACAATTTACAAATGCTGGTTTCGACCACTATGACCTTTTCTTTGCGGATGGCAGTACCCCTACTGACGCAATCGTCAAAGAATTTCTGGATATTTGTGAAAGTGCCGAGGGTGCCATTGCAGTACATTGTAAAGGTATGTTTCTAGGGTTGGTTAAAGAATGGTGGGCATGTATGTGTATATACCAGGTCATTTAGATGATATGCCAGGACATGTGAAGCTGCATTTGGTATTACAGAAGGCATTTTTTTTAATGTATTGTAAGTTGCTCTTTTTTTAATATGTTTTTTTAATTGATTTCACAGAGAGGAATGGAGAGGGGGAGAGAGAGAGAAACTTTGATGATAGAGAAACATCAGCCAGCCGCCTCCTGCACACACCCTACTAGGGATTAAGCCTGCACTTGACCAGGAATTGAACCTTCGACCTTTTGGTGCCCGGGAGGATGCCCAACCAACTGAGCCACACCAGCCAGGCATAAGTTGCTTTTTTCTTAAAACCACTTTATTGTGGTGTGATTGACATAACAAAGGCTCTCCATATAAAGAATACTTTTAAAACCCTAATTTCATATGAAAAGTATCGTAAATTTAATTGTGTCCATAGGTAAACCTACAAAGGCTTATCACACTGAAATGTATTCATTTATCCATCAAACATCTATTCGGTGCCTACTGTTTGGTAGGTTCTAGGATATGTCAATGAGCAGAGTGTACTTTAAGAGCTTGTCTTTGTGGAGTTTATATTTGAACAAATTGTTATGTTTTTAGCTGCTAGAACAGTGCCTGGCACTTAATAAATATTTATTGAATGACTGTAATAATACATTATATGAATGTACTAGGATTTATTGAACTTTTCTCCTCGTTGGATAGCTGACTCTGAAGACAAGGAATATATTTTTGTTAAGAAAAATCTAATATTGAAAAAAACAGCAATAAAACCCAGCAAATCTGGGGAATAGCCAAAATCTAATCTCCAGAATTGCCACATTATAAGTTTTAAATGTCCAGCTTTCACCAAAAAAGTCACAAGATATACAAAGAAACAGGAAAGTATAACTCATTTAAAGGAAAGTAAAATGAATCAACAGAAACTGTCCCTGAGAAAGACCAAATGGTGGATTTACTAGACAAAAACGCTAAAACAGCTGTCTTAAAGGTGCTCAGAGAACCAAAAGAAAATGTGAACAAAGTCAAGAAAACAATGAGTGAACAAATGAAAATATCAACAAAGGGATAGGAAACAAAATGTTCTAAAGCTGAAATGTACAGTAACTGAAAGGAAAAATTCACTGGTGAGATTCCAGACAGAAGCAGGCAGGAGACAGAATCAGCAAACTGGACAGTAGGACAGTTGAAATGATCAAATCTGAAGAAGAAAGATTGAAAAATGAAGAGGGACCTCTGGGATATCATAAAGTGGACCAGTCTCTGGATTGTGCGAGTCCCAAAGGGCAAAGTGAGAGACAGCAGCGAGAGATTATTTGAAGAAATAATTGCCGAAGGCTTCCCAAATTTGAGGAAAGACGTGAATGTAAACATCAAAGAAACTCAATGAACTCCGAGCAGGATAAACTCTCAGACCCACACCCAGATGCATGATAATCAATCAATCTAAAGTCAGGGACAAAGAGAATCTTGGAAGCAGTAAGAGAGAATGAACTTATCCATTCAGGGGACCCCAGTAAGATTGTCAGTAGATTTCTCATCAGAAACCCTGGAGGCCAGAGAGCAGTAGGTTGTTATATAGGGTGTCCCCCCAAAATGTATAGACACTTGGAATGGTTATAAAAGCATGTTTATTAACATACAGTTTTCATTTTCAAAATTTACAAGAATCTTCAGAAATGAATAATTTTTTGTCAACTCGTGTTTTTAAACTGATGACCGTCTGGTCCAGGAACTGCTGATAGCTCGAAGCAATGGAATCGCAAACATCAAGTCATTTCATTCAATATTTATGTGCCCTCAACTCATTAACTTGCCAGTTTTGTACCGTAAACTTGATCTTTTATGTATACCATAAAAAAGTCTAGTGGACAGATTGTTTTTGCCACTTCCTAACAAGGATTGCCTTTTAGTTTCCAACAACATGTTCTTCATTTCCATCTGCGCCTGCTCTGAAAGCAGTGCTAACGTCCATATTCCTGCTGACAGTTCCCTCACGCAGTCCAGGTGGTTTTCTTTCATGAGCCTTAAAACTCTTGCAGCCTTTATAATTCCATTCCAAAGCGACTTCTGCATTTTTACGTGTTGTTACGTGACTGTNCAGGTGGTTTTCTTTCATGAGCCTTAAAACTCTTGCAGCCTTTATAATTCCATTCCAAAGCGACTTCTGCATTTTTACGTGTTGTTACAGTCACGGTACCAAAATCTCTATTAGTGAGGGTTTTCCAGAGAAAATGATAAGGGAACTGGTCTCAGACACAGAGGAAGGCTGGCAAGTACAGGAGCTGCAGTGTGGGCTGGCAGGCTAGAGACCCAGGAGAGCCAGTGGTGCATGCAGTCTGCTGGAGAACCCCTTCTATCCTGAGGAGCCCAGTCTCCATTCTGTTCACACCTTCAACTGATTGATTGAGGGCCACCCACATGGAGGGTAATCCACCTACTCGAAAGTCCACTATTCTCACCCAAATACACCTGTCAGGTTGACACGTACAATTACCATCACAGGAGGTAATGGTAGTTTGGGTGAGAGTAAAGGAGGACAGCTGGAATAGGTTTTTTACAAATCCATGTGAAAATGAGTATAAGAGTAGAAAAACTGTTCACTGAGGGGAAGGTTTAAGCCTGTGTTTTTGGGAACATGATTTTACCATTAACAGAAAACCCAGGGTAGGGACACTGCACTTACTGAGAGTCATCACTTAGAAAGTCATTTCCTTTCCCGGTTATGAGTAGAACCATCTGGGGGACTTTAGAAATCTCTGCCCAGGCTGCATCGCATGCCAACTAAGTCGGCATCTAGAGGTGAGTCTCTTTTGTAAACCTCCGTGTGATCTCAGTATGCATCCACATTTGAGAACCACTCTTAAGGGAAGCAGAATCGTGGCAGGCCTTTTGAAAATATTCTCCCTGCCAACAGAATTCTGGAGTGCATGAGACCAGGTCTGATTGGTTGGTTTCTTTTCCTAGCTGGCCTTGGACGAACGGGTACTCTGATAGCCTGCTACATCATGAAGCATTACAGGATGACAGCGGCCGAGGCCATTGCCTGGATCAGAATCTGCAGACCTGGCTCGGTGATTGGGCCTCAGCAACAGTTTTTGGTGATGTAAGTAGATAGAGAGCTTTGGTAATTCCTTGGGGAACGCGTGGGTCTGGAAAATGATTGGAAGTAGACTTAGTCTCCAGTAACGCCAGATAGCCTAGTAGGAGAAAGTTGCTTGTATCTTTCTCCAAAGGTGATTTTGACGTTATTTAAATGCTGTAACAGGAAGGAGTCAAGCCTCTGGTTGGAGGGAGACTATTTCCGTCAAAAGTTAAGAGCTCAGGAGAATGGAAAACACAAAGCAGCTGTCTCAAAACTCCTCTTGGCTGTGGATGACATTTCAATCCATGGAGTCGAGAATCAAGACAAGCAAGAACCTGAACTGGTAATCGAACCATCCCGGTCACCCTGTTGTTACTGCTTTAAATGCTGCTGAGAACCTTTTAGGGCATGGAGGAAACTGAAGATAAAAGTAATAAAGTACATTTTGAGGGATTATTGTCACATTTTTTATACTTAGAGCCTTTTCTGGGAGCTTTTTACTCAAAATAGAACAAGTTTATGTGTCCAGTACACTGAAGGCCTTTCTCACTCACTAGGCACTAGTGGCAGAGGCATGTGAAGTAAGCTCTTTAGATGGACCTGGTGACACCCCCCTTCCCGACACCTTTTCTCATTTCGTGACAGCTGACTTAGGGCAACAGCTGCTCTCAAATGGAGAACTTTAGAGAACCAAGAGTTTAGTAGTAGTTGTACTGTATTAAGTGGTGGTAAGTAGAGGGTGAAATTTAAAAAATAATGTTTTCAATATTGAAAACCCATTATGCCTCTTCACCGTCAGTGGTTTTATAGCAAGAGTGCTATTGGCTTCTGTGTCTGTGGAAGTTAATGTTTGGTTGTCTTGAAATGTGACCTGTAGCTTTATTTCGAAAGCAGCAACATATTTTAGAGTTCAGCCAAAAGTATATGTATTCTTGTGTGTTCTGTGGGTAAAGCTGCTCTGCTTTATTGCATGGGTGACACAGCTTCAATCATTGGCTCAGTGTGTTTTTGCTTGTACAGTACAGCGATGACGACGAAATCAGCAGAGTGACGCAAGGTGATAGACTCCGGGCCCTGAAAAGCAGAAGACAATCCAAACGGAACACTGTTCCCCTCACGTGAGTCTGGCCTCCTTTGCGGGGTTGATGTTCAGTGTATATATGAGGCCCTTCGTCAGCATTTGTCCTGTACATTTTCTCCATAGCTGCACTTGGAAATGATCACTAAGTTATTTTAAACCAAGGGGTGTTGCCTGAGAAGCTCCAGGCTGCCCTTTATTTTGTTCTATCTCTGTCCTAACCAACTGGCCTGTATACAGGAAAGCAGTGTTAGGAGTGCTTTTTCCCCAACAGATCTGTCCATAATTGCTAAAAATTGTGAATTTCTTTAGATTCACTACTCTATTAGAGGTAATTTCTTTTAATATGGTAGAATTTAATCAGTGGTGACATGGTGGCTTAACGTAGTTATGGCAACGATAGATTAAACTATACTTTTGTATTCATTTTTTTGTTTGAGGAATTATTTTCAAGTTTCAGAAGAAGGTTGAGCATGGGGCTAAGATGTTTTGTAGAAGCTTGAGCATGGGGCTAAGATGTTTTGTAGTCAGTGAGTGTGTTTGTCCACTTTTACTTGGTTCTGTAAGCAGTAGTTTGGATTCAATCTCATGGAACATCCAGTATGTTTGTTTTTTTAATCCTCAATTGAGAATATGCTTTTCATTGATTCTAGAGAGAGAGGAGTAGGGGGAGAGAGAGAGAAAGGGAGAGAAACATAGATGCAAGAGAGAAACATCAATTGGTTGCCTCCCGTACGCATCCTGATCAGGTATTGAACCCACAACCTAGATATGTGCCCTGACCGGGAATTGAGCCCCTGGCCTTTTGTTGTATTAGGTGAGGCTCCAAGCAGTGGAGCCACCCGGCCAGTACTCTAGAGTATTCTTTAGTAGATGCTCTCACCTGGGACATTGGATTTCTTCCTTCCAGTAACCTCCCTTATCATTGTGGGACTTGAAATTTCCAGCCCCTCCCCATTTTTGTAATGGAGATAGGTCGTTTACTCGGTAAGCATCTTGTAATACGATAAAGAACTGAGTACGTAATAAATGTTCATGGCAGAGAAGAGCAACACTTCTTTTCAGTTAAAAGTGGTTATTCACTGGTGTCGCCTCATAATCTTAAGTTCTAAAGTAGAATTACACATAATGCACATGTTGTCTTGGGCTTCTGCCTTGGAAGCTTCTTCAAAGATCCAAGAAAAGAATCGAGTTTTCCAATATAAAGTGCCATGTGAATGGAAGGCATCAGTATTGATTACAAGCATCATTCAAGCATTACCTTTGCAGCTGGGCTTCGATCAACTAGAATGCTTTAAGACTGGTGCATTTCATGTAATTTTTCCAAGTGCAATTTTGTTTTCAGTTTCATTAAGAGTCTTTATTTAAAGCCTTAATGTTTATTTTTATTTAGAAACATTATATTCCCTCCAAATAAATATTCTGATGCCAGTTTTAGACATGCTGGAGGAAATAGGCAGTGCCCAGATTTGAGCTTCTCAAATTTCAGTGCGCATTTGAGTTTCCCAGAGGGAAGCATGTCGAAGTGCAGCGCATGGTCAGTGATCCGGGGTACGACCTGCAATTCCACATTTCCAGCAAGTTTCCAGGCATCGCAGATGCTGCTGGTCCAGGGCCCACACTTAGTAAGCCCTAGAAAACGGTGATTTTGTGGGTTGCTTTTTCATCATGCTCAGGTTTTTTGTTTTGTTTTTAAGAATCTGCAGCATCAGTTTATTTCTCAACAGCTTATTGCCCTCTGTTCAGAAGTCAAGCTGGGAGTCGGGATGGCACTTCTGCTTAGTCAAAAGTTTTTGTTAAATAGAGCTTACAGGAAATGTCCTTGTTACTGAGCCTGCTGCCTTGTGAATGTGTTTCCTAGAGTTCAGGTCACTTGATGTTCTTTTTCCAGAACAGTTGAGGCTGTAAACATCTCTCATAGCTGATAGGTTTGTGGTAATATAAAAGAAAACAACAAATGAAGACTAAAATTCTAAATATGTTGGAACCCAGGTGACACTAGCTGCCATTACTGTCACCTCTGTGTTCAAGGTTCCAGCGGTGAAAGCTGAAAAGTGCTCATTGATGGGATGGTCGAAGGAAAGTAACTGGCAGAGGCAGGGGAATGGGGAGGAAACATCAGCCATCGTTTTTTAAAAAAATATATGTTTTTATTGATTTTTAGAGAGAGAGGAAGGGAGAGGGAGAAATAGAAACATCAGTGAGAGGACTATCAGTGGACTGCCTCTGCACAGCCCCCACCAGGGATTAAGCTGGAAACCCAGACATGTACCCTGGCTGGGAATCAAACTGGCAGCCTCTCAGTGCATCGGTTGACGCTCAACCACTTAGCCACACCGGCTGGGCATCACCATTGGTTAGTTATGTAGATACACTCCTCTTGGACCCCCAAAGCAAATAAAGGACCCTGGCCCTTTGCTCTGAAGGGCTCTTGGGGTAAATTAAAACCAAGTAAAGTGGTAAAAGTTAAAAATATTATTTAAAAAGAACTAGTTCAGGATCCCCTTTAATTGTAATCCTAAAAATAATAGAATAACCCCAAAACTGCCCCCCTTCCATACACACAGTTAACAGACTTGTAGGCCACACTTTTGAAGGAAAAGGCCACGCACCGAAGTTCTTCGAGGCTCTCAGGTGTGCGCACAGGTTCCGGGGGTTTAGATCCGTCTCGGTGCCTTTCCCCTCCTCCTGTACATTTTGCCTACCGCCTCCTCTGCTTTTTGAAACCCTCTTTTCTGTTAAAATCATCTCTTTTTTGCTTTTACCTGCGGCTCTTTTGGCCCTAGAAAAGGAGGTCAATTGGAGATTTTCTTTCCCTCCCAAGTCTTGTTATTATTTTAGAAATAAATTCNCCACACTTTTGAAGGAAAAGGCCACGCACCGAAGTTCTTCGAGGCTCTCAGGTGTGCGCACAGGTTCCGGGGGTTTAGATCCGTCTCGGTGCCTTTCCCCTCCTCCTGTACATTTTGCCTACCGCCTCCTCTGCTTTTTGAAACCCTCTTTTCTGTTAAAATCATCTCTTTTTTGCTTTTACCTGCGGCTCTTTTGGCCCTAGAAAAGGAGGTCAATTGGAGATTTTCTTTCCCTCCCAAGTCTTTGTTGTTATTTTAGAAATAAAAGCCCCCCGAGAGAGTTCTCAGCAGCGGTCTAGATTGAGAAATCTAAGTTCAGTTCCTGCCTCCCAACTTTGACTCATCTGTCATCACGGGCAAGTTAGTTTTCTTCGCTGTTGGTTCTTAGATCCAAATGAAAATACTCATAATAAGGAAAGTTGATGAAAAGTATGTGACTCTTAAGAGAAAGTTATGGTACATAAAATACCATTCCAATGATCAGTTTCTATTTTATCGTCAATATTCGGGGAAAGTTAAAATCATTAGAAATTGTAAAATAGTCCTTTTCTCAGAAAGCCTGTCTGATCCTGCCCACCGTGGTAAAGACAGTAGGTCACGTAATCCTCGCAGTGATGGCAGGTATGTTACTGTCTGTCTGTGCTCAAGTCGATTTCTTAGATTTGATAACTTCCTCCGTGCTGCTTATTTCTGCATATTGATCATTTCTGCTAGTTTGTTGTGGTTAAATGAAGTGCTTCATGAAGAGTGGAAGTGTATCCTACACGGGAACATGCAAAAGTATAGATATAATTAGCCTTGAAAAGCCTTAAATCCCCCTTAGCAATACAGTGTAGATGGAAGTGTTTTTCATCATTGGAAAATAATTCATATGCCCTGAGCTTTTACTAGAGGAACAAATAAAGATGTATAGTGCAGACAACTGGATATTCAGGCCCTGCTGCCTTTAAGATTAAGATAACTGTTAAATCAGTAATGACAAGTGAAAGTTGGAATTGGTAGAGAGTTCTATAGTGTCCCAAGGTCATTCATTACATTCTGTGTAAATATTAAGCCCCCGTAATCTTAACATGTAGTAGACTTGATTTTTTATTTTTATTTTTTTAAATTTTTTTTATGGCAGTAGTAAATGAGAGAGTGAAGTCTAGTTTTGATTTCACACCCACGTAGGATGCATGTGCCTGGCCCATAGTGTTCAATCGTTAAGATGACAAAGACATTGATAAAGATGGCATCCTAAGCCAAATCAGTCATTTTTGACTTGATCACCCCAATAGTTTGTACAAAGCACATACTCAATAGATCCTTTTGTTATTTGGTCACAGATGTGTCTGGGTGGTCATTTGGAAATGTAGTAATTGGAAGGAGTTAACACCCTCCCAACTGTGAAGAGGGTTCTTTTCTCACTGCTAGAAGCTAGACCAGTGGATTCAGAAACCAAGCCGAAAGCTGTTTTCAGCTACATGAGGAAAACAACTAAGGAAATGTATATAGTACAGCAGGTCCTCGAGTAACGTCATTTTGTTAATAACATTGATGAGGTGCTGTAGGAAATTAACTTTTGTTGCTATCAGTTAGTCTACAGTAAAATGGGTTTCATCATATGTCTTTTTGCATAAAGTTGCAGAACCATCGATGATGTTAAGTGGGGACTTACTGTGTTGATACATAAGGGTAATTTTCTTCATTTTGTATTGTCTGGGGTTGCCTGTCCTTCTGTAACCCGTGTTTTCAGAATATGCAATTTGCCTGAACTCCTGGATGATACAATTTATGGCCCCATTGAAATGAGATCAGTTCTGCTGTACTGTGTCCACTTATAACTGTGCCTCCTAGGGGATGGCTCTTAATATCAGTCCAGCACCTTTTTTTGTTGGGTTGGTTTTGCCTCCTTTCCCCTTCTGATTTGGTTTAGTTTTCTGTGTGTGCATATCGTGCTTTTTGAAGAATTTCAACCCTATAACAATAACTTTGATTTCTGTATCACACAATTAAATTAGCATGGGGCAGTTACCGAACTAGAGATTGGGTCTACCCTTTTGTTACCAAGTGTCAAATCAGGTTAATATTGAAGACAGCATTTTTTTCCCCAACATAAAATGGCAAACCTCCATCCTTGTTTCCCACCCCTTTTGCATCATCGCAGGGTGTCTAGAATTTACACATGGCTTTATTTATTAATTATTTTATTAGTTTGGCTTCCCAGTTTGAACATCTGTTCTTTCCCTTCGCCCCTTTCCAGATGTTCCCTAGCTGTGCTGGCCTCTGCACTGTGTAGTGTTGTCATCTGGTGGATTGTTTGTGACTGCATTCTTCCCGTCCTGCTATTCTGTCTCGATGGTCTAAGAACACAGTAGCCATCGGACCCTTTGACAAATAGCTGCTGTGTAAGTGTCCCATCCATTCTCCACGAGCTCACTCGGCTGTCCCGTGTGTTTCCCATGATGCATGTTTTTCTCACTAGCAGCTCTCCTAGCTTTGATTTGCTTTTTTTCTAAAACTCCTCAGTTCATGGGGTAGCAGTAGAGAGGGAGACCATTCACTCTTCTTTTCATACAAGGGATATTAAAAACAACACGCTTTGGTGTGTTTTTTTAATCTTCACCCAAGGATATTTCTTTCCATTGCTTTTCGAGAGAGTGGAAGGGAGAGAGAGAGAGACTGAGAGACATCACTGTGAGAGACACATTGATTGGTTGCCTTCCGCACAAGGGCTGGGGATTGAGCCTGCAACCAAGGCACGTGCCCTTGGCTGGGTTCGAACCCAGGACCCTTTTTCAGTCCACAGGCCGATGCTCTTTCCACTGAGCCAAATCAGGTAGGGCCAGCACACTTTGTTTTTAAGTTATGCTTACTCTTAACAGATGTTTTTGAAATAGCAATTTAAAAATAGACCTTTTTCTATAAAAAATATTTAATTAGTTTTGGGTAATTTGGGGTGCTTTTCTTTCAATCAACTGTCTGTACAATATCCTCTAGTTTTCTAGAGTAAATTTCTTTAGTATATCCTTTCCAATCTAGCAAAATAACTTTCGCACTGATTTTCTGCTGTTGGCAAAGATATGACTTTGTAACCAGCAGGTCTAGAGAGCATGGCATCCTGTTTCGCTCTGGCTCTGCCCATGTGCACAGCTTGCTCTCAGCAGGCAGCTGCTTCCCTCAGGAGTCTCTGTCTTGAGTTTGCAGAATTTCCTCCCCTACCTCATTTCACTTTCTCCCCCTTACAGTTAAGTACAGTTTTTAAAACTTGATGTTAAACAAAATAAGGAAAGCAGAGAAGACCGGAGTCTTTATATCTGTGTTTCTGCATGACTGGCACTGCTCCCACCTCACTCTTGATTTCCTGTTTCCTGAAAGTAACTAAAATGCCTTTATTAGGGTAATATATTCTCTTGTATTCTCTTGATATCTTTCATCCTTAAATGAATGCCTACTGTGAAGAGACATCTTTCCTGCAGAAGAATGTGGCAAGAAGCTCACAGGGAGTATCACAGAGTCAAGACCACCAAGAGCAGGAACAGGGTGTGCCCGCGGGCTGTGGTTAGCCACTGCCCTCGCATGTCTAGGCTGCATTTGTTTTTCTCTAAAATTTTTTCTTTAGCTCATATTTCAAGAATTTCTTTTCCTGTTCCAACTTGGACTTGGGAATTATTAAGAAATACAAAAGTTCCTTCTAGGACCTCCTCCAGAGTAAAATTCCATGGCAACCAACTCTAGTGCTTTGTGGTTTCATTGAGTGTATTCAGATGGCTAGAAAAGACTGAGACCTGGCCGACTTCATTCTTTTCAAAATGAAGGAAAAGCTGCTTAACATGTTTCTACTTATGACATTTTCTTAAATATCTTATTAAATACATCTCATAGGCTGATAGGCTCTATTTTTGATACAGATTACCCTTTTAGGTGTCTTTTCCTTTGTTTCTCTTAGCAAACTTAGATTTCCAGATATTCTGATTCAAGGGCATCATGTACTGTGTAAATTTATTCTTTTCAAACTTTTGGCAGTGGCAAATCCATCTTGAATCGGTGAGTTCTAAATGGGTGGAGGCGTTGCTAATAATACTTAAGTGCTTTTGATTACTTTTCCCAGGGTAAGTTTTAAATGGGCTCCATCAGGCTCTTTTCTTTTTACTATTCTATGTAAGGTCTAACCTTTTTCTGTTACTACTAACGTTTGCCATTGCATTAGGCCCAAAGCAGAGTATTCAGTTTACAGAAACCAAAGCTTTCAACAGTAACAATGATGTACACAAGTATAATCCTCGTAGTTGTCTTTGAGATGATTATTCAGGGCACCCACCATAGTTGGCATTTACCTGTTGGCCTGATAGATTGTTAGGTGACGTGCTTGGAGATCTCGTCTCCAAGGACACTTCAGATTGCTGCGTCAAACTCTTAGTGGGAAGATGCATCTGGAGTTGCAGGGCTCCGGGCCCATCATTTCGAAAGCTCGTTTGGTATCAGTGGTGGACAGCCAGTGTAAATCGTGCATGGTTGCACTGATGGATTCTTTTCTTAATTGAGTGTTCAGATCATTTTGTGGCTTGATAGGTGAGAGACCTGGCTTTTCTCTTTTTGCTTTGCAATGTTCAAGTTGCAGGTGTCATGTCCAAACTCGGAATACTGGGGCTCGGAAGATACTGCAGTGTGGACAAGAGATAAGAAGGATTGTAAAGCAACAAATACACATGCTGAATATTGCTCTGCAAAGCCACGCGATCGGCCTGGTTTGCAAGGTGGGAGGTGGTTTCTTCCACACTACCTGTGGCAGAGTGCCAGCTTATGCCACCTTATCAGGTGTTACTTGTAGGCTATCACAGGTAATAGCTAAGTGTAGTTGCTGGGTTCTTCCCACTTTATTGATGCATAACCTACAGATGTAATAACTGCTCTGTTAATGCAAACAACTGGTGACCTGTGATTAATGCATTCCAAATGTCTGTTATGCTGTTTCAAGTTCCACAAATAAGTTATTGGCTATTAACATTATTATGTTTCTTCACATTAATTATTTACACTAATTTTATAGATACTTTAAAATACTTTAAAAAAACACACGTTTCTGGTCAGCCTAAAATTTGATTTAGCAGTAATTTCTTGTCTTGACTAGTATTTAAACATTTCAGTATAGTTAATTTAAGAAATGAGATCTTAAATTTCCTAAGCAGGCAATATTTTGGCCCTTGCTTTCCCTCATATTAATGATTTTACCGTGTGGTAGTCGTCTACACTTTTGGCTGTAAGTGGCCTCATTTGAAAAGTAGGTGGTATTTTAAAACAAGCCCACAGGAGTCTCATTTTCTCCATTTGTAGAAATGGAGATAAAGCAGAGTGGGTGCAAGGCTTCGGGACCACAGGCAGCACTGGGCCCTGGGCCTGGGCTCAGAAATGGCTGTGGGAGCATCCTTGGCTGGTTTTTGTTGTTTGGTTTTTTTTTATGAAAAATTCTAGATTCAGATCTTTAAGAGAGGCTACTAAATCTCTCCCCCTCTTTTATTTAATCAGAAAGAATTTTAAAATCAATCCTTGTTTCCAGAGATAGGATTCACGTACTGGAACAGTTGGTGTCTTGAATCGCACAACTGTGTCTGCATATGCTTTTTCTGTTTTGCTAGAACATTCAGTATTTAGAACAATAAAGCTTTATGAGAACTCTTGAGTCCAGTATTGGCTCATCGGATCAGTTTCCCTCATCGAGGTGTGAGGCCTGCTTCTTGAGGCTTTCAGAAATCCTACCTGGACAGCAGCCCCTCCCTCAGCCCTGCCCCCTCTCATCCTCAAACAGCTGGAAAACCACTGGCCTCCAGACTTCTGCTCCGGTGTAATACAACCCATCGTGGTTTTTTTAGTGATGGGAAGTAGGTATTTTAATAAATACTGAATGTTGAGTGCTTTAGGTAATGCTAAGATTATAGGAATTGTACTAATCTAACTTATACTACATTTTAAGGACCTGGCTTTGGTTATTTACTAACATGGTGGTGATACAGGCATAGGAGGTAGGACTACTAGTTTGTTGGAGTGGTTTCTTTTTACTTTTATGAGCTGGGTTCAAGTCAGTTGTTCTTGGCTATGTTACCTTTGTCTTTGCACATGAGAGGAGGAACCTTTTTCAAGTCAGTGTTTTCTCTCACAGAGAAATAAAAGTTGAGTACTGTATATAAATGTGGTTGCGTTTCAGTCTCTTGAAGAAAGGAATTGTGTATAAAATCTTTTGATGTTTTCCCTGTGACAATTGAGTGAGGAATTTAAAAATACCCTCTACTTGCATGTAGGCTTAATCTCAGGGAGTTCTTTCTGATTCATGAATTTGCCTCTGGTATAATTTATTCCCATAGCATCACTTCCTTGAGGTTTTTAGAGTTTAATTAAATCAAGTCTCATAAAATTCAAGCAGTTTCACTTTTTTGTTAATGGTACTTGGTGATTTAGTAAGTAGTTGTAATCCAGACAAAACTCAAATTTTGCTTGATCGTGCTCTTAAAGTTTGAAATGTTATACAAAATTGGTATTGATTCAGGGTTTTTTGCCCTTACCCTCAGCTCTGAGGAGCAAATGCTGGATAGATATTTATGTTCACGTTCTTTAAATTGGGGGGGTTAAATGATTTCTTGTTTTTATGACAGGAATTCTGAGAATCTCCTTTTACTTTGGGACACAAACATTTGTTTTACTGATTGTTTAGTGTGGGAATTGTTGGAAATGCCTGGTCATTTGCTTTCCAAAAACAAAGGGCTCTCATTATCTGTGTGTAATTAACCTTCACAGGGAAATGAGATGCTTCATTTCAAACAGCCTCAAGGTAAAAATGTGTTTCTGGGAAATCCTATCAATTTCCATCAAATAACTTGCACTCAAGTACAAAACTTCCTTCCTGTGTCAAGTATTTGAAAATTGTTTCAGTGATATAATCTTATTTTTTTCCAACTGTTTTCAGAGTAATTCTTCAGTCCAGTGTTCAGAGCTGTAAAACACCTGAACCTAACATTTCTGGCAGTGCAGGCATTACTAAAAGAACCACCAGATCTGCTTCAAGAAAAAGCAGTTTTAAAAGGTGAGAAAAGAACCCTACTCTTCTGAAAAGTTCCAAGCATTGTTTTTCCAGTTTAATCTCCTGGTGACAGAAGTGAAGTTAGGCCAAACCAGAGTCCCGAGATGGGAAACTAATCAAATGTGTTTGATTTTTCAACATCTAAGAACATCCTGGACCATTTTAACGCAGGCTTTTGTTTAATTTTGTTTTTAAAGGTGATTCTCAGCACTGGAAGTGTGGTCTCTAGGTTATAATGTGGGAAAGTTGCAAATGTTGTATATGTAAGTTTTTAATGAAGGATTCCCAAAGCTGTCTGTCAGGACGTGGAGGATCTCTTTCTCTGTATCAGATACCAGCATAATTGTTGGAGAATTCGCTATGAATAAGCGTGATGGTGGAAATACGTGAACTTTAGTGAGTTTGTGATCCTTTTTACCTGGGACCGTCCTCTTGGCCACAGTCCACACCCCAGGGGGCTCATTCTTTCACTTCAAGCCCAGCATCTTTCACGTCCTTCATTCACAAAGAAAATGGACGTATTCTGTGACCACATCCATTACACACTGTTGTCTTTGGAGGTCTGTCATGAACTGAAGGCAGACCTTTTATTTTTAACGTGTTCTAAAAACAGATCCCTCTTGGGGGAAGAGCTGGTCTCCTACATACTGTCATCTCAGGAGTGGGAGGCAGGCACCCTTTCCATGTTTGTGTGTCTTTGCCTGGAGGTGGCCGCCTGTAGTCCTGTAGGAGGCTCTGCCCTCCTGTCGCAGCAGGTCCCTTCTAACAGACACCGGCACCTGAAGGTGGCCCAGGCCCGACTTCAGTAAAACATCCTGCACAAATTTTGCGCTGCGTTTTCAGTTTTCTGTCCCCATACCTTTGTAGTTTGGGCCTGCGGTGAGCGCCCGTCTTTGGTGCTGAGCAAGTCTCTGGTGTGGCCTACAGTAGCCCATGTCCTCAGCACTCTCTGGCAAACCGTATAGCCCTGTGTGTTTTGCTTTTTTAAGAAAATTGTTCAGTTCTGCCATTTTTCCTCTTTGCTGATTCCCTTGGACAATTTTACTGCATACTTCCACTTATATGAGAATGTGATCGTGCCCCAGGACAAGTATTTGAGAGTTGGGCACTGACTCATGATTTTAGGGTTTTAAATTTTTCATTAGAAAGGTATCACTATTCATACTACTAATTCCACTTGAGAATATTAGAGAAATACCAAAAATCAAAGACTTAGGTACATTATAACCTAAAACCAGAATGTTATTTATAACAGTGAGAAAGAGGAAATGGTCTAAAGACTGATGGATTATACCAAATGAATCTAGAATCATGTTTTTAAAGAAAATTCAATGATCTGGATAAATGCTCTTGAAGCAATAAATGAAAAGAGCCATGCATAATTGTTATGAAGTATTACCCTAATTTTGTAAGTATACAATACACTTTATGTATGTCTAGAAATGTATAGACATATAAATATTTATAAATGTGTATATTTCCATATATGTATTTTGAAATAAGATGAAGGAAAATATACCATAATATTAACAATTCTTCTAGTTAGTTGGACAGTTGGGGAATTTTTTTTAATCATTTTCTTTTTTTCCCTAACTTTTCTACAATGAATGGAGTGAAATGGGAATATTTTAACTTTGATACTTTCAGGTGAATTAAACTATTAAAAATTCAAACAAGAAGCTTGCTGTTGGTGATAGTTAGACATGTTTGAATGGACATAATCTTTTTAGGTGTCATGGCTCAGGCTCCCATCACAGTCTAGTGTGTCTTGCACATTTAACCTGCTTTTTTGGATTGTGCTCTTCAGGTTGCAGAGAATAGAGTCCAGCAGCGGTTGGGGTGTGCCCTGTTGCACCCTGATCCGCTGAGGGCGTGGTCCTGGGACAGTTTTTCCATCTAGGTCTTGTCTCCTGACCGAAACTTGTGCTTCTCAGCAGAGGTGCTTCATGTGCAGTGAGCTCTGAGGGTCTGAAGTCGTGTTCAGACCGAGTAGGCTTGACTAAATATTGAAATGGCCCAAAGCCGTTTCCAGGCATTGGGGATAGTGCTGAAAAGCAAAAAGGCTTCTTTTAATTTTCTGAAATGGACTTTCAGAGATTGGGAGGGGCAAAGAAATGAACCAGTGAGGGTTAGCTGGGTTTCACTGTGTGCTTAACCCCCTTTGCGCAGGGTCTCCTTGGCCTCCAAGGGTTGCTGGTGTTCACGGCACCTCGTGAGCCACCTACAGCTCACCAAAGAAAGACAAGTACATTATGTGCGGGTCCCACTCCCTGCTTCTAGGAAATAATGGGGGTGGAGGCAGCCAAGCTGTAGCCTGAAGCTTTCATCCTACTGAATAGTGTTTTTCTGGTTGGAGGATGATAAAGGAATTAACACTTCTGTACATAATCTGATTTAGGACAAAATAATATGAGCTAAGATTATTCTTTCTTTAGATACCAATACACACACAAATAGCACACGCTTCCCGAGTACACTGTGAACCCTGGCGAGGCGCCGCGGAGCCTTCCTCGCAGGTTCCTGTCGCCCGGCTGCTGGTGGCCATGTCCCCGCGGGCGCCGCCCCTCATCTCCGCGCTCGGGCTGCCCGGGACCCCCAGGGTCCCCCCGGCAGGCGCTCCGGGCCGCTGAGTCTACTGAGCGCCCTGCAACTTGGGGAAACTTCCGCAGACACGTTAAAAGAGCAGATACCTGACAGTAGGAGTGTCGCCAGAAGCGAGTGTTGGGGAAGTAGCGCCCTNCCTCCGGTGCCCGCCGAGCGCGGGCCACAGCTCCGCCCAGTCGTGTGACGGGCTGCGGGGGCGGCTGATGCCAGCAGACCCTCGGTGTCGGCCGTGTGGCGCCTGTCGCACCCGCCCCCAGTGGGAAGCAGTAAAGCAACGCGCTCTATCCTCCCACTGGCCCTTGGAGCTGGGGACGCACCGCAGATTCCCTAGAGCCGGGCAGAGCCGGGCAGAGCCGGGCAGAGCCGGGCAGAGCCGGGCAGAGCCGGCGGCTTCAGTGCGGGGCCCGCAGAGGGAGCCGCCTGGGTTCCGGGCGCAGCGCAGCTGGCCGCGGTGCTCTCCGCGTACGCGCTTTCTTTGCGGCAGCCTTTCCCTTTCCCTTTCCCTTTCCCTTTCCCTTTCCCTTTCCCTTTCCCTTTCCCTTTCCCTTTCCCTTTCCCTTTCCCTTTCCCTTCTCCTCCCCCTTTCCCTTTCCCCTCCCTCTTTCCCTTCTCCTCCCTCTTCCCCTTCCCCTTCCCCTTCCCCCTTCCCCTTCCTCTTTCCCTTCTCCTCCCTCTTTCCCTTTCCCTTTTTCCCTTTCCCTTTCCCTTTCCCTTTCCCTTTCCCTTTCCCTTTCCCTTTCCCTTCCATCCGTGTTGCAAGAGCTGTCACACAGGAGAGTTGTTTTTATTCCAGGTAGCCTCGCTGGGGACCATCACTCTGCTCCACCCGCGAAACCTACCGAGTGTCCATTGCTTTGGGGGACCTTGCACCTGATGGCTCATGTTGTGAGGCCCTTTCCTTGGCCTCTGAAACCATGAGTGTCCTCACCAGCCCTTCACTTGGGAGGAGCTGCCTTTAGGACTTTTGGGGGGGGGGGCTTTTTAAGTCTTCTCGTTTGTGATTCTTGCCATCACCATACCTGTCACTGCTTCTTGTCCATTAGCGCCTCCGCTCTTGGCGACCGTTCATCACCTCTGGGCTTTAATGTGTTGTTACTGCATCACCTCCACGAGCGCATCCGTAGCAGGCCCAGATGTTGTAGCTATTCTTTTTAAAAATGCTGGTTGCCTCCGCTCTTTTAAAATGTTAATCTCCCTTTGAAATTCCAGATGCTCTCCCGCTTGGGAACGGACCCGGACTTGCGCGCTCGGAGCCGCGCGGTCTCCGCGCACCTGGGCGCGCTGCTCCGTGCGCGCCGTCTGCGCCCCGCGAGGGCCCCTCCGGATCCGGCTTGGTTCTTCTGTTCCCTTTTCCTTCAGTTTTTCTCTGGAAGTTGCTACTTAGTTGAAAGTGTCAGGTGATAAGTGGCGGAAGGAAACCAGGGAGGTAGCGTGAGGATGGCTGGCGGCAGTTAGTTGCGGGCAGACGCGGTGCGGCGCCCCGCGAGGCCGCGCTGGAAGCGCTGCAGCGGGGAGCTGCGGCCGCGCTGCGGCTTCGGGGTAACCGAGTAACACTCCTTTATCTTTCCCTTCTCTTCACTTTTCCCACAGCCTGGTTCCTCAGAGGGGAAGAAGGAAAAGGAATGCTTTGCAGCAAATGCCCTTAATGGCATTATGGTACTCTCATTGCTCCGCTGCTTCTGCACCCCCCCTTTTTTATTGTTTTTTATTGTTTTATTTTTTATTTTTTGCAGAACTGAGCCCTTTTCTGCTCTGCCTTTCTCTCCTGCTTGTCTTTATGGTTGGTATTGTACTGTCTTTTCCGAAGTATTTGTCATTAAAGAATTATTCCAAGTGTATACTTTAGCATGTCAATATTTTTTAGTATGTTGCCTTCCTTGTCTTTGATAACTGCCTGTGGGACACTTGAAAACCTTCATGGTAAAATCCTTTTTTTTTCCCCCGTAGTCCCTCCATTTCAAGGACTAAAACAGTGTTGCGTTAAGTAAAAAGCTGTGACCAGAACTGAAGGAAGACTCTAGGAACAGAACTACAACAGGACTTAGCACAATTTATTTGGAAACAAAACAAAATTGCAAAAGCCTTAGCTGCTTTCCACCTAAGAAGTTTGTTCAGTGAAGAATATGTCCACTGGAGTTGAAATAACTGCATGGGCTTGGGTACAAGCGGTGACTTGAAGACAACCCAGCTCTCCCGTGGTAGAAACGGCTCACGTTGAACAACAAAAAAGCTGTTGTAAATTTAGTCTCAGGTGTAAATATCAGAGCCCTCTGTTGTCAGGAGGGCCGACTGCTCTGTGGTGCATGTGTGTCCCTGTGATGGCAATCACTCTAGCTGCTGGCCTTCAGAGGAACGGAGGATCTGATGGAGGTCTTTTACCTATTTATTTTCTGTTCGCCCTGTGTCAGAGTTTATAAAGATAAAACAGGCATTACTGAAATGGTACTTCCTGTAATTTGATACTATTTGGTGTAATTCTCTTCACTTTGATATTTGTAATACTGTCGTCATGTTAACTGTTAAGTACCCAAGCTGCTTGTGTTCCACCACAGAGTGCTTTATTATCAGGACCCCGCGAAAGCCCCGTGTGAAGGCTGCTGCATGGTGTGGCAGTGGTGGCAGGTGGGCTGTCACCTAAACCTCGCAGGCGCGTAGCAGTAGCTGCTTTAGAAGCCTCAGGAGGAGAAACTGGCCTCAGAGTTGGAAGACTGTTGCAAGTCATTCCTTTTATGTCATCTAGGAACTGAAGAATTCCAAGGCTGCCCACTATTTGGTTGCCTGTCATACAAATTAAAATCATGTTTCCTTCTGTGCATGAAAAAAAGCCCACACTTTTGGTGTTTCTCTTTGGAAACAGTTTCTCTTTGGATCCCAAATAATGGTGGCTTAAGAAAAACAACCATACTGCTTTATTGGGGTCTTTCTCTGTAGCATTGTGGACTTTTTCTGTTATGTGATCAGCCCAAGGCTGTTTGCGCACCCTTTGATTTCAGCGACAGTTATTCACGTCTGTATTTCAGTTTGTCCATAAGATACTCACTGTTGCCTTCCATTAGGGAATCAGCTCTTTGCAGAGTGCCTTCCCCCCTCCACCCCTACAGAAACACAGCGGAGTCTGTGATGTAGAGCAATCACAGAGTTTATTTGCTGCTAAAAAAACAAAAAAGAGGCCCAAAATAAGAGAATATTTTTCAAATAGTTTTAAGCGAATGGTTTTAGTTATTGTTAACCAGTGTTGGCCTGTCCTAGTTTGGAGAAAACAGGCATAGTATTGTAGGCAAAACGCCTTCACAATACAAGAGGAGTGAGTGAGGTCAGTAGGCAATTCCATTTTTACACAGCACTGAGGAATAGGAAGTAGTTGGTATAAACAGATTAAAGTCTTTGAATGCAGAAATAATTGGAAGGCCTTGGCTCCATTTGGTTTTGACTCTCTTGGAGTAATGGTGAGGTCGACTGACTCTGAGGGGAGATGGAAGACGCTGCCGTTTTGGCTAAACAAGCAGTTCTCCCGCATCAGGCTGTGGGGGTCGGGCCCCACCAGCTTTTGCAAACGGGACTAGACCCAAAGACCCACTTCCCTGGCGGGACGAGCGCTGCTCAGTAAGCCCGGGGTGGGAGGAGAGACATTCCATCCGCTGTGTTGTGCCGGGAGGCTGTGCGAGGCACTCGCCCAGGCACCGGCACCGCTTTCTCAGGGCAGCTCTCCTTCCCTGTATCTTTTCCAAGGCCACGTCCTGCGTAGGTAACCCAGGCGGTTGTGAAAGTCAGAGTCCCGTCCGAACCGTGCTCAGTTTGCCTTTTTATTACTTCAGATCCAGTAGCTGCTACTCCCTCCCAGCGAATAAGCCGCTTGGTGTCTTGGCCACGAGCGAGAAGTTTGGGCTTCAGTGTTAACCACAGTACTTGTTATTTTATTAGTTGCCCTGTGTTGGCTGCTCACGTACCCAGCTAGCATTGCTGTCACTGTGGCTCTTTCTAAAACTCCTTGTGTGCAACAGGCTTGTTCCTGAGATTGGTCATAGGAAACTAATGATTCGATAGTCATTTTTTGAAACACAAAAAGGGCATAGCAACAGCGTTAAACTCACGGGGGCACATCTAGAATCCAGGAAGCCTCTGGGTGGGACTGGTGGAAAGTTCTTGCTCTGACTCAGAGTGGACTGATTCTTTTTTCCCCCCAACTGAACCTTCACACCCAGAACCTTCTGAGATTCTAATTTTGAGCCCTTGTCATAGGAGACCTGTTGCTATGGAATGTGAAACGGCATGTCAGACGGAGAGATTCCTTTAACTTCAGAGCCTTAAATAGCTCTGAAAGTACACCACACAGTTCCCATTGCAATTAAAATTAGAAATGAATATTTTTAGGTGCCCTTGAAGCTTTGTGGGGACTCAAATCATCAAAAGCCAGGGGCAGTCCAAAGGAAGGATGTCTGCAAAACTGGGTACCTAGAAGTGTAGACAGATCTCTGTTTTGTGTGAAAGGAAAGCTAGGGAGTTAGGAGTCCGACCTGCGGTGAGGAGGGCGGGTCCCGAGCACAGCCTCACCGAAACCAGTAGCCTCACCTGTCAGGCGTGGCTGCTTCCCAGCGCTTGCTGCACTTCTGGTCCCCAGGATTGGTCTGTTCCAAACTTGATCCCATTAGCCAGTCACCCCCCCC